CTCCTGGGCTGGTTACCAGCACTGCTAATTTCAGAGCAACTCACCGAGCGCTGAAACAAACAGCTTCTCTGCTGGCAGAATCTCATTGCACAACGGGCGTGGGATGCAGAGGATCAAGAAGTGAGGGCAGCAGTGCCAGCAGGATTCGGGCTGCTCCGTGCAGGTTAATTCCATCCCCACATCTCATCAGTGCTCGAGGCCTTCTGACCGTGAGATCCACACAGCAGGGGAGCACAGCAGTGCCCTCGTACCGAGCTGTGATGGTTGCTGCTGTTGCAACCTTCCATCTGCAGCACCCCAGGTGTTCAAGCAGTGCCCTGAGCTGTCAGAGCAACACTGAGCTGGGCCACAGGCGCTGCATCACAAACAGCAGAGCTCACAGCCAAGCATGGGGGTGTAGCAGAAGGCAGATGCAAGGTGTGTGAGATTCTTCTAGGGAAGAAAGTAATTGTTTGATGCTTTGTGTGTGGGAAGACTTGAGGATGGCCTGAGGTGGACGGCATGAAAGAATGCGTTCAGATTTTGGCCATAGTGTAAACGTTGCTTGGATTCTTGTTTTGAGGGGGAGGTGCCCTGCACTATGGATTTTAGCTTTGCATGCCAACTCCGTAACAGAAAAGCAATTGGAAATTCAGTCCAGAATCCGTTCTGTCTAGCTTACATCAATAGTTCAATACTTAATGGGTATTTTGTGTTTAAACTGAGTTTTTCTGTTTTGGGGTGAGTTTTTTTGTTTGTTTGTTTTCATAGAATCATAGCATGGTTTGAGTTGAAAGGATCACAGGATGGGTTGGGTTGGAAGGGACCTCAAGGACCATTGGGTTCCAGCCCCCTGCCATGGACAGGGTTTGGTTGTGTTTGTTTTTTTACAGATTATTTAGAGCCAGAACAATTCTCTTATGGCGTATAAGAGGACAGGACAGTGGAGTTCACTCTGTTTCTCCAGAGAGGTGTCACGAGAATGAATGTGGCTTCAGAACGATGAAGTATTACATGAAATATGCAGTCTGGATTTCAGCATTTCCCTGGGCTGGAGCAGCACCAAACGTGCAGCTCGCTGTCCTGCAGGTGCAAAATCCAGAAGTGGAGGCTGTGAAGTTCTGTGATTGAGCAGCAAATAATGAAAAGTCCGGGGGTCCAGCAGTGCCTGCGCTGTTTGCACCAGGACTGGAGTCGTGCCCAAAAGTGCTGCTCCAGGACAGACTGATGCTGGAGCCTTCCCTCCTGCTCAGCACGATGTGTGCTGGTGCGCAGGGCTGCTCCTGCCTGCGGTTGGTGTTGCAGATGGACTCGAGGTGACCCGGCCAGGGGTGCGGTGTGGGGAGCATCGTGGTGTTGTGGCCCAGCGCTGTCTTCAGCTCAGCCCCTCTGTCAGCTGAGCCCTGTAAATGCTCTCATTTGGGGAAGCAAACGCGCTCCTCAGTGCTCTCTGCCTGGGGGAGAGAGGGAGGTTTGGCTGCAAATGAAAGAGAAGTCAGCTGGATGAGAAGTAATTCGGCAGCGGTCAGGAAAGCGTGGTAAACCTGAGGTGGAAAATGACAGGCAGGACTTTCAGGAGTTTGGCTTGGGATGATTTGCTCCAAAAATGCCATCCGCTCTCCCTCATCCTTCAAGTTTTATTAGAATTCTGCTCTCCCAGGAGGGCTCCTGCGTTCCTGCAGGGCTCACTGTGGGCTCACAGCACTCTGCAGCTCTGGCTGCAAATCCTGCCTTTGTTTCCCATTCTGCCGCCCTTTGTGAAGGCCCAGCGTTGCATAGGTGAAGACTTCCAAAGCAGGTAAAGGGGATGTTTGAATTCATCCTCTTTCTGATACATCATCTTGTATATTGGTCTTCCTCTCCAGTTACAGCAGTAGGGTCTGTTTGGGGAGGAACACAGGTGGTCTTCCCAAAGGAAAAGTGTCTGAAAAGTGATCTGAGCACCACTGCCCTGAGGCAGAAGGTACTGGTGCTGCAGTGCTCATGGAGGAGGAGGAATTCGAGATAATGTTGCCTGTAAATAGAGTTCAGGTCGTGGCTTTGTGGGCTTTGTGATGTGATGTGGCAGCGCTCAGGAAAGGTGGCTGGGGGCTTTGGGGTGAGGTTGGATGCGTTGTGTCTCTGTTTGGTGGCTGTACAGATATTCTCTGACAAAATAAGCAGCACCACATCGATGGCGCAGGATGGGCTGGCGTTGCATACTGAAGAATATCCTCAGCAGACGGCAGCAGTCACAGCTAAACCACGACCTTGAATGTTACAAGCACTGGGATGTGAGGACGAGAGAGCTGCAAAGGAAGGTTGGGTTTCATACTTACACAAGGGAGAACTTGAAAGTGAGCTGTATGAGGCAGCATGAAGTGTCAGCTAGGCACTTTTGTTGAGGTGAGGATGGAGCCCGGCGTGTTTTGCCATATTGCATCTCGTTTGCTGTCTCTCTCCTGCCTAATAAGGATGCTATTCCTCGTGCTACTCCATCTCTGTAAAGTGAGTTATTGTCCACCAGGATGCGTTTTGTCAATCTGTGAGGCATCCGCACTGGATGACTAATTAACTTTTAATTAGTAGGGAATAGAAAGCTCAGGTTTTGCTTTGCTTTGAGGCTCAGGCTGTGAGTTCTGTGCTCAGCACTGCCGCCCCTCCCCGCAGAAATGCAGCAGTGGGTCCTGGAGGACCGGAGGGATGCACAAAGTCCCATGAGGTGGGACTGTTCAGCTCCACCTCATGACTAAGCTGGGCTTTGTCAGCCTTGTAATTGGGACTGAGGTTGCCACACGAGTTAGCCCAGTTTCAGTTACTGATGTTTTGAAACCTCAGAGCCTGGTGTGAAGGAATTGCAGGATCATGGAATGGTTTGGGTTGGAAGGGACCGTAGAAATCACCTCGTTGCCACTTTCAAGCTTGCCCAGCTCCTCTTGGATGGCATCTCCTTCCTTCTGTTGTATCAGCTGTGCTGTTCAGCTCGGTGTCTTATGCAGACATGCTGAGGATGCACTCGGTCTCACGGTGTGTCATCAGGAATGATGTTGAGGAGCACTGCTCCCAGGACCAGGAGCCATGGTTCTCCATTTCCAGCCACTGTTGGCTTCATCTGACAGCTGCAGCTCTGGGATATGGAGGGCAGCAGCATGGCAGCCTGTCAGCAGCTCAGGGCCCTGGGATGGATTCCATCCGGCCCTGTGCACGTTCAGCCCCATCAGCTGCTCTCCAATCCACTCTTCTTACAGTGGGGGGATTTTTCTCTCCTCCTCCTGCCCAGAGCTTCAAGGATATGAGATATGGAGAGCCTGACTGCCACTGAGCGCTGAGGCAGAGAATAGAGTTCCTCAGCTTTCTCCATGGCTGTTGTTGCTGGGAAGGCCGACCCATGTGTGCAGGTCCTACAGATGTGCCTTCAGTGTCTGAACTGCTGTGCTGTCACAGCTCTGTGCTGCAGGGAGGGCTGGGTGCCGGGTGATGAGCGCGACAGATGCGGGCTGTGAAGATCAAGGTCCTGCATGGCCTCCTTGAGCACCTGGGCGCCTGTCACTGCTTCTCGTGTGTCTGGGCTTCATCTCCATACCTTTAACAGGGAATGCAGAAATATTTCCAGGCAGATTTAGACCTCTCCAAAGTTTTTTTCCTTCCTGCAGTCAGTAGAGGAAGAATCTCCTTCCTTGTGGTGAAGCATCGAGTGGAAACCTGACCTCAGAGTGACTTTGCCAGAGAAGGGGAATCCAGCAGGCGCATTCCCCACTCTGTGGTCATCAGTGATGCTGTGTTGCTTCTCCTGGTCATGGCAATACTGAATGGTGAGAGTCAGCCATGTGGCTGCATCCCAGGAGCCCTTCCCAAATTGTGTGCGTTAGTACAAGTGCACAATTACCAGGCATTGTGCAAAGAAATGCAATATTTAAGGCTAACAGGTATGTGATATTTAAAAGTACTTCATATGGATGGTTTGTTGCACTTACTCTGGATTGTTCCATGATAAAAGCGACCTGCAGGGCTGGAGCAGCACATGGCTGCAGGTGGGCAGGCTCCAGCACACTGGTGGGTCAGTGGCTGCTTTGGGGCTGTGAACAGGTCTGGGTCAGCCTCAGTGTCTCTGTGTGCCACCACAGCACCGATGCTGATCCACTTCAGCACATCAGCTGAACAGGTAGTTGAGCACACAGGTAGCTGAGCCAATGTCCTCCCGGTGAGGAATGGCAGAACTTTGCACCTTAAAGCTGCTGTTTGACTCCTAGATTCCGCTTAACGTATGAAGCTGTTACATCAATGCAGTGCATTGCAGGGCACATTCCCTGTGCTTCTTGCAGCTGAACGCCGTGTGCCTGCTCAGCTGGCACTGCAAGCCATCCTCTTGCCTTTGCAGTGCTGCACTGCTGGCAGGGAGCAGGATGTTCTGCTCAGCAGAGTGCCCTGAAGTTTACTGAGAGGTGTGTGCGCTCCCCACCCTTCTCCCTGCCCTCCGTGCTCTCTCCCCTCCTCCTCCATTCCCAAAGCTCATTTCATTGCACAAGTTCCCTGTCGCCTTCTTGCTGCTCAGGGCAGGCTTCTGAGCAAACAACAAAAATCCTGTTGTGCTGCATGAATGCGTTCCTCCCTTTAATGGTATGAAGTGCTCCGTGTCCTTTACAAGATCTCCCTTTGTCACAGCTGTGAAATGCGTGCTCAGGCTGGCGGCTGCTCAGCCCTGCACAGCGCAAACCCTCCGACCTCCACTCTCAGCTGCCAGGCCTTGGAAGCTTGGAAGTTTTTACTTTCTCCCCCACCTTCTCTTTTTTTCCCCCCATTTCTCCCCTACAAGTGGCAGCTCAAATCCCAAGCTGAAAGTGAATCGCAGCTGCTGGCCGCCCTCCAGCATTCCTGGCTGCAAGAGTAAGGATCTGGAATGTCAGCAGCAGCGGGGCGGGAAGGAGCAGCGTGCGCGTGGGGAACGGCGCCCGGAGGAGGAGGACGGAACAAAACACAACTTCAGCTGGCCTGCCCCTTTCCAAACCCGTGTTTGTTCCTGATTTATGCTTTCGGGTTTCTCTTAAAGCATGCAGCTCGGCGCAGCCACGGCAGAGAGCTGGCAGCAGCGTGCCGGAGTACAACAGGTTTTTGGTGGTGGTTTGGGTTTGTTTTTTTACTCTTTGGAAAAGCGTCTGGTCTAGAGACCTCGGCTGTTCCTCCTGCTCTTCCCACTGAGCTGGGCGACCTTTCCTGAGCGGCTTTGGGAAGGAGAGCCCCTGGTCCTGCGGCTCCGGACAGGAGATGTCCCTGCGTGGGCACTGCGGCCGCCGCCTCTTCTGCTCAGACGAGGAACCTTTCGGAGCCTCAGCTCCCCCTGCAGCAGATTAATGCCTAAAATTGTACACCTTAACCAGCAGGGTTTAATTACCAGAGCTGTGAATAGTTTAATTAGTTTGTTCTGACCTTGGGAGGAGGACCTGCCCAGCGACGGGAGAGCGCAGCTTTATTGCTCTGCGGTGACCCAGCCTGCAGGGCCATGTCGTCTCTGTTCACCAGGAGCAAGGATTACACGCGGAGCAGGAAGTCCCAGTCAGATTCACCCCCGTCCTCTCCTTCCCCGATTGCAAAGACGCTCAGAGTAAGCAGCTTTTCCTTTCTGTGCTCAGGGCGGCCCGCTGGGGTTGGTGGAATGCCCTGGGATTGCCGTGGCCGTGGTTTGCTTTGGAAGGAGCGTGGGGTGAAGTGAAAGTCGGGAAGGTGACTCTGCAGCAACAGGTTGGAAAGGCTGCAGGTTCCTGGGGCGGTGCTGATTGGCACCGGTGCTGCGGGGAGCTGCTGTGATGGTGTTCCCCTGCCCTGCGCTCACAGCGGGCACAGACATCTCTCTCCATAGGTTATGTCTGCGAGGAAAACGAGGCAAAGCCTGAGCAGCTTGTTAAGCTGTGTGCTTCCATCAGCGCTGCGATGCTGCCGGCATCCAGCTGGGAGCTGTGGTCTGGTTTAGTAATTCCAGCAGTAGAAAAATAAAAGAGAACCACCTGCACCAGGAGGAGCAGCAGGGCAGGATGGCGGCGTGTGCTGCTGTGCGGAGGTGTTTTGGGAGTGGGAAGGCTGTAAGAGTGCTGGTGTTGGACGGGGGAGGCTGTGGGGACCCCCGCATCCCCATCAGGGCAAGGGCAGCTTCTTTGCAGCCGAGGAGTCTTAGCCATCCTGGAGGAAGTCCATTCACTCCTGGAGGAATGAGCCTGAAAAAAGGCAGATTGATTTGAGAGGCAAGCATTGCATTAATCTGAGCACTGAGGTTCGCTCAGATCAGGTGTTTGCGTGGTCTGCTCCATTGCTCCTGGTCTGGAAGCAGCATGGTGCTGGTTGTGCAGGGGGGGTTTGCCCCTCTGTGGGGCAGTAGCAGCGGTGCTGCCTGGGGCATCCCTGGGGTTTTGGGGTCACCCCCTGTGAGCTGGATCCCGTGGCAGCTGAACCCACTGTGCCTGCAGCTCCTGGGAGCCTGCAACAGTGGTAACAGTGGGTGCAGGACACACTGACGTGTCAGGGCTGTGGAAGCAGCCGGTGCTTTGGCAGGATTTGCTTCTAGCTGAAACAAAGTCTCCGAGTTAATTCCTTCTCCAAGATAATGTAATTCTGCCGTGAGCAAAAGCAATAATTAAGTGTACTTTCCTATGGGATTGTGCCATGGTATTTTTTGTGCGTTTCCCCTCTGCTCCCATGCCCACAATATTGGCAGCCCTTGCAGCCTTAATAAAACAGGTGGGAATGTGATATCTTGGAGCCTTTCCTATTTCCATCCGGTTCCGATCGATCCCAGCAGAGCTGTGCATGCTGAACGATCCCAGCTGGGCAGGCAGTGAGGGGCAGGCATGGAAACCTCCTGGAGCAGCAGGCAGCCCAAAGAAGGGCTTGTTCCTTGGGCAGACAGCTGCATTCTGATGCCATTTGCAGAGCAGCTTCCTGTGGCATGCCCTTGGCCCTGCCTTTGCCCTGCTGCTCGTAGCCTTCCTTGTTGGCTGTTAGGATAAAACCGCACGTGCTTTTTTTTCTGCCTTTAATGGTGAGAAGGGTGAGCACTTTGCAGTGAGTTATTGCACGCTCTAAGAAGGGCAATACGTGGAATATAACAGCACCATAGGGGAGGGCTCGAGCAGAAGGCACACGAGGAAGCTGTGCAGTGTGTAGGTGTGTGAGCAGCTCCATGGGCCATTGCAGGGTCAGCACCTCCTGGTGCCTGACACTTTTTGTGTCATAGAACCAGTAGGGTTGGGACAAAGCCCTGAGGTCGTCTGATCCAACTTTCAGTGGCACCACCAAACCACATCCCTCAGTACTGCGTCTGCCCTTCAACACCTCCAGGGATGGTGAACCCCCACCCCCAGGCAGTGCTGCCGACGCACTGTTGCACTTTCTGGGGATGTTCGGGTGCCTCTGGAGCTCCTGCTGCCATCACAGCCCCACCTGGCAATGGGGGGGGAGCACCTCGTGGCCCCTTCTCACCCTGCTGAATGGCACTGGGACCACTTGAGCATGGCTGCAGTTATTAGAGGTGCCCGCTGTACTCTGGCATTAGACAGAGCTGCACAAATCATTTGCTGTGCTGCACAGCTTGAGGGGATAACAAGTGCTCTGCAAACAGTTCTCCAGGAACCTTTCTCTTCCTGGCCTGCACTGAGCAGCCTGGGCTCGTCCTGCTGGTGATAAAAGTGATGCTGCTTGCATGGGAGCAGGGTCAGGCCGGTTGTTTCCAGACATTCTTCTCCTCGTGTCTGCACTGCTGGCTCATTACACAGTGTTTGCAGAAACTGCTGTCCTCTCCCCTTAGCCAGCAAAAACGTAGGATACCGAAACTTGAACTTTAAGGCAATTAACCTCAGGCTGTGCTCCTTCCACTGCCTGGTTTGTTTATTGCTGCTCCGATTGCTGGTTGTTTCTCAGGCGTCCTGTTCCTTAGATGGATATCAGCAAGAAATCCTTCTGGGTTCTGTTTGTTGTTCTTCTTTTTGTTGTGTTTTGTTTGTTTCCTCTGTAAATGCCCATATCTGGAAATGCATTGGGAGCACGCAGTCATCCTCAGGGCTGGGCAGCTCCTGCCACCCTTATGTCCATAGCAGGAGCCCTGGTGCATGCAGTGACCCATGTGAAGTGTTACACCCCGGCTGTGGCTCTGTAGTTAAACTTTCTCAGCTCTCCTCCTTTCCTAGGAATCAAGCCATTGATTCAAGCCAAAGCCAAGCAGGGAGTGTGGCAGCCCTTCAGTGTCCACAGGCTGCTGGCTGAGGCCATGCTCCAACCCTGTGGCATTTTCTAGGCAGACGTGGCCCCACTGCGTGTCCATATTACCAAAATAAGTTGTTTCTGCCCTGGGAGGGCTCTTGCAGGGTGCTGTGGCTGGCAGGGTGGGATGATGTTTCCCATGTGTTGAAATCCCATCGGGCTGCTTTGGGTGTGCTGCTCCCAGAGCTGGAGGCACGCGGTGCAACACCAGCACGGTGTGCATGGCTCCTGCCCTTCCCCTCCAGCGCCTGCTCTGTGCTGCTCCATGGAGGGATCCAGGTCAGCAGATGGGGAGAGGCTGCCTGGGATCACAGTGCTGTAGTGGGATTGCCCAGTGCTGCAGGGGGAGCCCGGTGTGCAGAAGGGGTGAGGAGGAGGAGATCTGATCTGGGCTCAGCCCGGGGCGGATGGGGAGGTGCTGTGGGATGGGAATGGGTGGAAGGGGAGAGCGGATGGAAGCCAGAGGCAGAAAACCACTCTAACCTCTGAATTGCAAACCAGTGTTTACTGCAGTGGCAGGAGCCCATTATAGCTTTGTTTTCCATAAGAGGAACACGAACCCATAGTAAACAAAGCTGGCAGGGCTCATTCTGCCCCACTGCCTCTGGGCACTGCAGCTGGACCTGTGCAGCTCTGGGCACATCTGTGCTGGCTCCCACCCTGGAGGTGCTGCCCCGTCCTTGGAGCTGCCCCTGGTGACAGATGCGGAGTGCTGACCTCAGGTTAGCTTGGTTTGCTTCTTGGTGTGGTTTTGTTTTTTACACGGACTTGTCAGTTCTTTTTAGTAACCCCCTGTAGCTGAGGTCACTCCTGAAGAAGCAAAGCTTTGGAGCAGACATCCTTGGGCAGGTTTGGGCTCAGATCACCTCTGGCAGCAGCTCCGGAGCTGTTTTAGACAGAAACAAATGAGGAGAGAAAGGAGCAGCACCAACAGCCTTAACTGACAGCACAGGATGCTCCGTGCAGTGCAGACAGCCCAGCATACCTCAGCAGCCCTAATGGCTTTTCCATGCAAGCACTCCCTGTGCCCATGCAGTTGTCACAGAAATGCTACGTGGCTGCAATGGGACAGGTTGGTTTTAGCAGCTGCAACTGGGGCTCCAAATAGATATTTAAACACACCATGATAACACCTGGGAATGCCCAGCAGTGTGTGCAGGGCAGGGGAGGAGCTGCTGCCTGCAGCCCTATGGCACTAAGAAGTTTGGGAGCAGCAATCTCCCCCTCTCAGTCACTTGGCCCTTCAGCTTTGATTTCCTCATGTCTGGAGTGCTTTGCAAAATGAAGTTTTTCAGCAATAAAACTTGATCCCTTCGAAAAGAAGGGAAAAAAAAAAAGAAATCAGAGCAGCAGACCCAGGTTTCTGAGTTGTGGCCTCTCCTAAATTAAACTACAATCCAGCTCAGTGCTTTACACAGTGAGCTCTATCCCCCAGAGCCAGCAGTAATGAAGTGCAGCTGGGGCTGAGCCGAGGGGCCACGGAGGAGTGGGGAACTGAGGCAGGGGGGTGGGGGGAGCACAGGGGAGCTGCCTGTGCTGGGGCCATGGAGGTGCTGCTGCTGTCAGCCCCCCCAGCTGCGTGTTTGTTTCGTGCCGTAAGCAATGCAATGTGTTGCAGGCAGCGGCCAAGGCTGCTATTCCAGCTCAGATGGGCTTTTAATATTATGCTTCAGTAACAGCAGTTTTTCTTAAGCAAAGCTTTTTGATTTATCGTTTGTGAAAACATGCTTTGCGTAAGGCTTTGGGGAGTTGGGGGTTAGATGGAGGTGGTTTGGCTGCACGGTGTTATCCATCACGGCAGTGGGATTTGTGATCCTTGCATTCGCAGCGGTGCAGCCCGGGCGGAAGGCAGCAGCATCCATCACCAGGCTGGAGCTGGCAGGGAGCTGAGCCGCAGCGCTGGGTCGGCACAGCAGCTTTCCCAGCGAGGCAATGACCTCAGAGAAGCAGAGTTCAAAACAGACCTTGTAATTCTTCTGCACCCTTTGGAAAACCAAACTTCCTGAGCACTGGTTGTGCCCAGCCCGCAGGTCCAACTGCAAGCTGCACCACGCACCAAAGCCATCCCTGCTCCTCCCCACAGCTCCTGCAGTGCAGCCCCACGCTCCCTGCCAGCTGCACGCCGTGCACAGGGGCTGACCTTCCTGCAGCAGCCGTGCAGCAGAGCAGCAAACCTGCAGTGGGCTGGGAGCAGACAGCGCAGCCTGCAGCAGTGTGCAGCTCCCTGCAGCATTGTGCACATCACAGGGAGAACTGTGAGCCCACAGGCAGCGGGGCTCAGCAGGAGGATGGCTGCCAGCACCGTTGGAGGAGTTGTTGGGGCTTTCTGTGTGGGTTTGGGGGGGAAGTGGGGCTGTGGCTGTGCCCTGGGATCCTGCAAAGTGGCAGTTGATCATGGGGGTGATCAGATCCCTGAAACAAAGCACCAAAAGGAATTCCTTGGGAACTGTCTTAAAATAGTGCGGACTTTCCCGAGGTTGGCCAATGGGAGATAAAGAACCATGAAATTTTCCAGCAGCATCTTTTTTGGGGGGGTGGAAATGTAAATAGTGGACTTGTTCTGCCTGTGCTGGGTCAGGTGTGAGCAGCAGAAGAATGCATCTGGAAGCAATGGGGCAGTGTCTGCCTTGGCAGAAGGCTGAGCCCCTCTTGGCGCTGCATTTCAGGGCTTCATTTCAGCCAAACCTTCCGCGAGGAATTTGGTTTTGATTTTACCTTACTGAACTTCAAGCAGCTGCGAGAGTTTGTGTGTTCTGAAGGGAAAACTCCTGCCTTCCTCCATCCAAAACCCAAACCCTGCAGCGTTCCTGCACTGCGCAGCATCGGCTTGGAGCAACCCGGCGTGGTGTGAGGTGTCCCTGCCTGGAGCAGGGGGTTGGAACTAAATGGTGGTAAGGTCCCTTCTGACCCAAACCTCTGTATGATTCCATATGCTGTTTGCTCCCATGCCCTGTGTTCTGCAGCCCTGTGGGGTTCAGCCAGCTCTACCCCAGCCCAGGGGAGCTGGCAGCAATAGCCAGGCGGTGCCACCCCAGCACTGTGCTGCCATCCCACAGCCAGGAGGAAGGATGTGACCCGAGCTGTGTGGCTGTAGGTCGGGGTGCTCGTGCGAACCCCACTCCCATCCTCCTGCTGCGAGAGCTCTGAGCACTGATGCTGACCAGAAACTTGGCGGCGCTCCCTGCAGCGCTGCTCTGCGTGTCCAAGTTTTCCTTTACCAGCCATCAGCGCTCACGTCCCGGGCTGCAGGTCCTGCCTGGCTGCACGCTGCTTTCAGAACCAGGGCAGCCGTGCTGCTCCCTGGGGCCCTCCTCCCCCCGCCCTGACCCTGTTTAGCTGGGGAGGCTCATGGCACAGCCCCGTGTTCCCGTGGCTGCTGCTGGTTCTTGTGGAGCTTCGGATCCCTGGGGAAACGCAGCGCTGGGGGCGATGCTGACAGAGCAGCTTCATGTTTGTCAGTGGAAAAAAAAAACCATGAAAAATACAATGGTGCATTCGAAGAGTCAGTACAGCTGGTTTTCAGCACTGCTTGAACCCTACCAGGCCGTGTGCTGTTCAGCCAGGAGGGCTCTGCTTGGTGGGCTCAGCCGCCGCTGCCCTCTGCTCCTTCAGGGAGCGGTGGAGGCTGAGGCTGCAGCACTGAGCTCAGGGCATGCAGTGCTCTGCTCCCTTGGGCAGCACGGCAGGTGATGCTGCTGCCATTTAAATGGCACTTGGTTGTTTGAGCAGAGAAGCAGTGACTGCAGGGAGGGCAGCCCAGCTGCAGCTGGAGGTTTCTGAGGGTGCTGTGGCCGAATGCAGGGCAGGGCTGGGCTGGAAGGGAGCTGGGCCTGGTGGAGATGGCTCCTCTCTTCTGTCATCGTTTTAAAAGCAGAACGGAGAAAGCTGGTCCTTGGGGTACCAGCGTGGCCTGTGTGCAGACCTCAAGAAGAGGCTGAGACAGAAACTGATCTAAAACAAAAGAAATATCCCTTCCTTCCCTGACGGTAATAGCGAGAGGAGGAGCGATCCTCTGGTGGAAGCTGGTTTGTGATTCCATCACAGCGGGGCCGTTGCCAGCAGTGGCTGCAGAGTTCTGTTCAGCCTCTGCTCTCCAGACCCGGCCTTTATATGGTATCATCTGTGTCTCAGAAGCACCACTTCACTGCAGCACCGCGCTGGGAGGCGGCTGCAGGTGGAAGGCTGGGGAAGGATGCAGTTCCCTGTGGGCCCCTTCCAGCTCGGGATGTTCAGGCTGTAGCACAGGGCTGGAGCTGCTGCCGTGGTTCTGCTGCAGCCCTGTGCTCAGCCGGATGGAGCCCCTGCAGGCACAGCCCTGGGGAGGACATGCCAACTGATAGCAGGGTTTGGGCTTTGGATTTAGCAGCTCCAGCTGAATGTGCTCTCCAGCTGTGAGGCTTCAGCTTTGGTTCAGTTCCTTTGTCCTGGCCAAGGCACCACGTTCCTGTGACAGAAGGCTGTGTGGAGTGGTTTCCTTCTTGAACAGAAGACGGGGGTTGTGTTGGGGTTGGAGGAATTAGAAATGTGGTGACTTGCAGTACCTGCCGTGTTGTTGTGTTCCTGCTGTGGTGCAGGCTGAGCACAGATATCGTGCTCAATGCACCCATGCTCAGAGGAGCTCATGGGGGGGAGCCGAGGATGGGAGCAGTGCATCCCACAGGAGCCCGTGCTGTTCTGTTTGACTTTGGCATTTGTAGGAGAAAACTGCCCGGTGCAGAGATCTCCACTACAAGCTGTGGTTTACCACACTTGGCCCCGCAGGACACGGCAGCGCCAAGCAAAACTCCTGTAATCCCCTCTGGCCCAGGTCAGTGTGCTTTAAGAGCACCAGCGGCTGCAGCGAAGGCAGAGCTGGGCATTGCTCTGCTGTGATGGGAATGCAGGTGGGGAAGGAAGAGCCCAACGTGCCCCAGGCTCTGTGGGGCTGAGAGCTCCTCAGCCTCCCCACGGCTCCTGCTGAGCTCCTCTCGCCCTGCAAAGCTCTCCTTCCTCACGAGTATTTGGCCGTGGAGAAAAGGTGGGCAGCCATCAAAGCCAGCACGGCTATTTGATGTGAAAGGGAAACAATAGATGAGTTTGGGGCCCAGGAATGGGCTTCAGTTCTGGACGCCAGGATTTAAAAGCCAAGGCTGTGTAGGTTTTGGGTTTGTGAAGGAAATGAAATCTGAAACGCTTCAGAGGAGCAGAAGCAGTTGAGAAGGCTCTGCAGCAGTCGCTGGGTCGCAGTTTGGTGCAGGCTGTGTGTGCTGGGTGGGAGCAATGTGCTGCTGGGGCTGCACTGTTAGTTCATTGGTCATTAATTCCCTTTTTTTCTTTTTTTTCCCCCTCTTTCCTTCAGCATGAACGACTTTCCAGGTAAGAACTTTGTTTCTCGGGGTTTTTTTTTTCCGATTTAATATTTTAGATTTAAGACTTTTTTCTGTGTCCCATTTTTGCACAGCTCTGGGGGTTCCCCTCCTTCACATCAATGGCACGAGCCGTCCCTGGCTCTGACCAGTGGGTTCTCAGCTCAGCTCAGCTGTTGGGCCACTCTGCTTTCTTCCTTTGCTCCTCCAATCACCCAGCAGCCATGAGCAGATCAAAACCTTCGACGTCCCGTTGCATGGAGCCCATTCCCACCATGAAGGTGGGATCCCAGCAGTGCATGGCACGTCGCTGCCCGCTGGGGTTTGGGCTGATATCCGCTGGGCTGTTCCCAGTTGGTTCAGCACGGGGCTCTGCTCGCCTTTGTGTCACACTGGCATTCCCTGCATTGCAGCTGCTGCACAGTGCTGCGTCTTTGCCTTGCAGGTTGGAAGCAGCTACAGCCCCTGCCACCAGTGACTCCTACAGCGACCGTGCCTCCAGCCGCTCCAGTGCCTACAGCCGCAGAGAGAACCGCCTAGCAGCCCTCAGCAGCAGGGCAGAAGAGGAGAGCAACAGGGACTACAAAAAGGTGGGGTTTCTGTATGTAATGTTGTCACTGGCTGCACCTCGGGAGCTGCACCGACTGTCTTTGGAGCATTGTCTGTTTCCATTGCCTTTGGGAATGATGCTCGCTGTTCTCGAACGCGTCAGTCCTACAGAGGGCAAAAACAGGACAGGGGGTGAAGGGACCCCCTGGGGAACAGGGGGTGAGGGATCGGGCTGGAGAGATGGGGGAGGGATTTTAAAGGAGAAGAAAAGGCTGACCTTGAATGCTACCAGCATGGCCACAGCGTGCACCCCCAGCTGAATCAGTTTGTGCTGCTATGACACTATTATTTGTTCTAAAAGCTCTGAAGCTTTCAGCACGATCCTTGAAATCAGTAACACGGGCTGCCAGGTGTGCGTGATGCAAAGGCCGTATGAAAAGTGTCTGTTTGGAGCACAGTGGCCGAAGAGCAGCCCTGTCAATTGAAACGTTTGCATTTCAGTTGTACGAAAGCGCCCTGTCTGAAAATCAAAAGCTGAAGTCAAAACTGCAAGAAGCGCAGCTCGAGCTGGCTGACATCAAATCCAAGTTGGAAAAGGCAGCCCAGGTAAGGCCAAAAGCTGCTGCTCTGCTGGGCAAAGCGAGCGCTGCCCCGTGCCATGCCAACACATCTGTGGTGAGGGAGGGGATGCAGTGCTCAGGAGGGAAGCTGCTGCAGGGGAGACTGGTGTTACTTTGCACAGAAAGCAGTGTGGTGTGTGTGATTCTCTAAGGACTGCTGCTTCTCTGGGCAAGAGCATCTGTGGGCTGTCCAGCCTTTGTATAGCATCGTGTGAATGCCTCTCCATTTTAATAGCTTTCTATTTTTAATTACATAGCAGAAACAGGAGAAAACTTCTGACCGGTCCAGCATGCTGGAGATGGAGAAAAGGGTATGTGTGTCTGCTTTCTTCTGGGTTCTGTCTTTGCCTTGTGCTGCTCTACAGGGCATACTAATTTCTGGAAGGAAAGTGTTAATTAAAAGATAAGTTACATTTTTGCCTTGCAGAGCAGTGCACGGCTGTAATTGTGTTCTGACCTTTTTGTGCCTGAGACTTTTCTGCTCTCTTTGCAGATCAGCCATGTTCTGACTTCCTTCTTTCATTATAGGAAGTGACAGAGCAGCAGATTGCATTGCACGGTCCTACAGGGCTGTCAGTCCTTTATGCCTTAAAATGTTACTGATCCTTATAAATAAGAACTTTCAGGAGGGAGGGAGAAACAAGACAAAGCACGGGCTGGGTGTCCATCCTTGTGATTACTCTTGAAATCTGATTGAACATTTCGTCCTCCTAACAAGCAGTCGGATTTGTTGCAATAAGTTAAGCTGTGGTGTCTGGCTGAGTCTTAACTGACCCTGAGGTCAGGTTGGAATGGACCTGAGAGCTGAGCTCCACCTCACGTGTAGGGGCAAAATGGGCCCCAGCACACGGCCTGCTGCCACGTCCATCTGCTCTGCTCCTGGCTGTGCAGTGCTCTGAGGTGCTTTTTGGTGATGGCTCCCATAGAAATGCAAGACTTTTGCTTTTCTTTAAAAGAGAACACGCTTTGTTTTTCCTGTAAACACCTCTGACCGTCTCTGTTATGAATCCCTGTAAACAGGAGAAGCGAGCCCTGGAGCGGAAACTCTCTGAAATGGAGGAGGAGATGAAGGTAGGGAATAATCTGTTCCCTCTGTTGTGATTTTGATGCTTTGTATTAACGTCTGTTGGGACAGTCATCCAGCAGTAGGATATTAAAGATATACATGGGAAGGGGCTCATCTCACCTCTGAGTGCCTTCAGTTTTGCATCCAGGCCTTGCTTTAATGGCTGTGTTCTCCAAACATGGAGTAGTGTTAAGCCCTCTGTTAGCATCCATCGAATCGCACCATGTGTTCTGTTACGTTGTTTGCCCTGAGAACTGTGAAGGCTATTCTCCCCAAATGCTTTCTGAGACTAACCTGTGGCATCCGTGAGTTTCAGTTTGCTGGATAGTCTGCAGCCCAAGCGAAGCCGTTGTGGCTCCCTCCAGATGGGTAAGAAGACAAAGCTGGCTTTTGAGATCACGCGCACTGGCCAGCACAGAGCACACAGTGATTGCATTTCTGTCCTACAGCATGTTTGTGGAAGGCTGCGTCAGTAAGTCAGGCTGGAATGGATCTCAGCAAAGAGGAATTTGCTCCCAAGTCCAGCATGGCTTGCTGTTCCCAGCCCACCCACCGACTGCTCCCTGCCTTCCCCTCCCGTGGCCCTGCTGGGACGGAGCCCCGCGGCTGGCAGGGAGCACCGCAGTGCAGATGCAGTGTTTGCCACCTGGGTGCACCTGCAGCTTCACAGTGATTCTGCAGCGTTCTGTGATTTTATGCTGCACTTGAATGCTTGTCCTCACAGAACGGCCCTCTGGTCCTGCGTGCTGTGCTTCCCTCCCCTCTGAGGATGATCCAGGTGGGACCGCGTCGCTCTGACAAGGCAGGACCTGGGGATGTCAGCGGTGCACTGATGGAAATGGTTCCTGCCACCCTCAACGTGGTTCCCGCTTTGGGCTTCTATTTCAAGCTTCATATCTTTACCAGGCTTACACCTTTGAAAGGAGAGATTGGTTTTTGCTGCGTCTTCTACTGCAATAAGTCTCAGAACAATTTGGTGGAGTCTTGCTGCAAAGGCTCTCTTGGTCTTTCAGAGAGGACGAAATGAATGTGGATGTGCTCAAAGGGGAGCAGCCAAGGGCTGAGGGTGCCTGGATTCCAAATCCTTCCTCCTCTCAGCAAGTGGCAACCGTGAACTCCGGAGGGACTTTCCCATCATTACAGAAATGCAGCCTCCAAGAGAAAGCACGGGCAGGAGCACTCTGTGGCATTGCTTTAGCCCTGCAGATCTCTTCACAAACCAGCTCAGTCCGTGGAGTAAAAAGACAAATTGGTGTCCTCTAGTGGCCTGTTGGTTTTGAGCACTTCTATTGGTTCAGAAAGCAATTAATGAGAGAAGATGCCTGCAGGGACTGCTGGACACAGCCACAGCTTCTCTGGTTGGGGGAGCCGGGAGCTGCAGGTGGATGGAAGCTGAGAAGGTGCTGTGGGAAAAGCAGCACGTGAAGTCTGGTGTGTTCCTGTGTTACCCTGAAGCTGCTGGCCATGCAGGAGGCAGCACATGGCTGCAGCAGCCCGTGGTCTGCCTGAGGACAAGCTCAGCTCCTTGGGAGTGATGCTGCCTCTTTCTGCAGACCCAAGCAGCCTTTTGTTAGTGGAATAAATAGATGTGAAATTTGAAAGTATCTCTTCTGAGGCACTGCTGGGTTTCCACCCCACCAGGCTTTGCAAAAACTCGAGCATGTGTTGAGCAGCTGACTGTGCTGTGACATGCAAACAAGTGTGAAGGCTCTGACAATGGAAGTCCATAAGGAAGGCAGGCTTTCCACGTCCACTTACATCACATCTTAAAGCAGGATGCAGCCCAGCTGTGCTTGTGTAGAATGAGATAACCTCTGCAGAACATCTGTACTAGTCCCTGCTGAGTCAGTAGTGCCAGGAAAACAAATCTCTTAGTACTGGCTATGCTTGCATTCCTGCTACTTTTGCTAATTGAATAGCTATTGAGCAGCATCAGAAAGAGCAATTTAAGCAAATCCACCAGTTTCCTATAAGGTGGAGAGCAGCAAGGGGAATCCCAGCCATGCCATGGCGTTGGGTTCTGAGTCATACTGCAGTCACTGGGATTCTTCCCAGCATCTGAATGGAACCAGTCCATCAGGGCTCACCTGCAGCTGTTTGCTCTTTGGCTGGCACTGAGTCCAGAGCAGTTTGGGAGCAGCTGACTCCTTGGGAAGAGGAGGCACAGCAATGTCACAGGAAGGTCCTGGGTTGCTGTGACAGCAATGCTGTGTAGTTCAGCCCAAGCTGAGCTTACAAGCTTTGTTCCTTCCATAAGTTGAGCTGCTGCTGGTGAAGCTGCCAAGAAGGGGAGAGGAGCATGGTGAAACTGGTGATGGCAGGGAGCTCCGTGGTGCTGGAGGGGCTCCTGCAGCCCTTGGGAAGGTGACACAGCAGTACGGCATTTTCCTGAGTGACTGCAGGGTTTGACTGGAGATACAGCAGCAACTTGGCTGAGGAAGGAGAAAGAAAATTAGCATTTGCACTGAACTGATTTCAATGCCAAGTGCCTGAGGTCCCAACTTAACACAGCAATTTTCCTTGAAGGTCACAGAAGCTTCTTTACTCTGAAGCAGCGCCGCACCTCCTGGCTTGGTACATTGTGCATGCTTTGGGCATCCTGATTTTCCTGAGTGTTGCAGGCACAAAACCCTTTAATTGAAGGCAAGTACAGCTGAACCGAGGAGCCTGCTTTCTGTAAGCCAAGAATCAAGCAGAGCGATAAGCAATCACAGCAGGATCATCCACATTCTGGTCTTTGCCTTTGGCTTCAGCCCAGCTCTCAGCCTTCGCTCGCTGTCTTTGAGCATGATAAATAGGAAGCCATCCGACCTGCAGCGCACGCACATTTTTGCACAGGTGATCCTTTCCCAGCTGCACAGCGCGCTGAGCTGAGCTGCGTCTGCTCGTGCTGTGCTGCAGTTCGTGCTCTGTTGGTGTGGGAAGCGAGGATGGTCTCTGAAGTGATCACAATCCTTTCCACCCCACGAAGCACGCACTGCGTTCTACATATGTTGGCCATTTTCTGCCAGCCAGATGCTCAGCTGCAATAAAGCAGAGAGCATTTATAAGCTGCGATACCGCAGGAACAAACGGCCCTTGCAGTCCAACCAGCATCTCCTGGGTGCAGGATGGACACAGTGATGTCTGTCTGTCCTCTGTCCAGCTGGCGCAGTAGGGCAGGTCGTGCTGGCTGAGATCTGGGAATGGGGAGGGTGTCTGTCCCCTGAGCTGTCTGTCAGTCCGGTGTCAGAGCGGCGCAGTGAAGGCCAGGCAGCAGGAGCTGTGCTTCCTTGGATGCAGGAGCGGTTGCACAGCCAGCTGGGCTCAAGCCCCATCCTTTCCTGCTCTGCATCCCTTCATTGGCATCGTGAGGCTTTTGGACGCGGTCTCCGTTCCTTCATGAGGAGCAAAGGTAGTGCTTAGGGGCAGCTGGGGCTGCACTGCTGGCTGCCCAAAATGCTTCTGTGTGGCACTGAGCCCTCGAACATCCCTGCATGCAGCAGTTCTGTGCGGAGCTCCGGCAGCTCTGTGCACCTCAGGTGGAAGTTCTCACAGCTGTGCAATGCTGCCCTGGCTAAGGGTGGTGTCATTTTGCAGGCAGTGCTGCCTCGGGACCCATGGCAGGAAGGAGCTCCCTGCAGCCCCTTCATCTCCTCCATCCCCACACACACAGGTGTGGGGAGGCTGCAGGAGGGACGGAGGGCGCTTTACCTTGGGCTGGGATTTGTCTCTTGAAGCCAAAATCCCTCCTTTGGAGGGTCCTTCCCTTCCTGCAGTGCAGGAGGCAGCGCTCGGCCCTCACTCCTCCTGGTGTCCATTCATTGTTGGTGTCGATCCATTGTGATGTAGTGTTGCTGGGGACGCGTCCTCCTCGTGTGAGCAGCAGTGATGTCTGCCCAGCTTTCTGCTCTGCCTTCCCCTGTGCTTCCACGCCGTGTCTCGGTGCCGCAGTGTGGCTGTGCCACCCCTCCTGGGCGCCCATTCCTGCCCTGTTCTGTGCTCGTGTGGTTTCTGTACTGAGCAGCACTGTGTTCTGTCTGCCTCCTCCTCAGGCTGTTCTCATTCAAGCTCCCGTCATTAAAAATGAGTGCTTTCAGTTCTTACCTTTTTCCTTCTGAAGGCTGAGCCCTGTGGCAAAGAAGAGTTGAATTTGGGCCGGGTTATTTGGAAAAACCCATGCCCACCCCACAGCTGTGGGGAGCAGAGCCAAGAGCCTGGCTGTGAGCATGGCTCAGCTCTGTGCCCTGCAGAGGCTCTGCTGCAGCTCTGCTCACTGCTGTGCAGCTGCTTCGGTGTTCAGAGATGCATGGGAGGAGTGGCACAGAAGCTCTCAGGTGCCAGCAGTGCTCCCAGTGCTCCCAGTGCTCCCAGTGCCCGTGGTGGCGGTGGGGCAGCATGATGGTTCGCACAGTGGCTCACTCCCACAGCTGTGTCTGGTGGAGCTCATTATGGGTCATTAGAAAATCACCCTTAAGGACCATCCTGCTTTGGGTAGGAAATCCACTTACTTAGGAGCATTCTAAAGGCTTTGGGGTCCCTGGGGGAAGGGCAGGCTCCCCACATGCTGTCAGTGTGCCGGAGGGCTTTCAGTGTGCACATCTGAGCTGCTGCCCACCCAGCACTCGCCGCTACTCATTTCTCTTTTCTTTTTCTCTGTTCTTTTACCCCTTGTGGACTAAATTCACCTTTCTGTGCCCTTTTGTCTCCACGGTGTGTTCTCTCTGTATCTTCCCGTCCCCTCCTGTCCCTCTCTGCAGAACCTCCACCAGCTCAAACAGATTCACACTCTGAGGCAGATGAACGAGCAGCTGCTGGCCGAGAACAGGGCTCTGACGCGGGTTGTGGCCAGGCTCTCGCTGCCTGCCACGCCCTCCGAATCAGAGGAGCTGTAGCCATTTGCCATCCGGCTCATCTCGCCTCCCTCCTCCATCCTCCAGGCAGGTCTCCGCTCCCGTGGCCGTGTCTCCCCTGGCTGGCTGGGCTGCAGGCTGCATGCGGCCGACGGTCTGCAAGCACCGGCTCGCTGCTCTCCAGACAGGGCTTCCCCGCACGGTGTGCTCTCAGTTCTGCTGACCCCGCTCTGCTTGGCAGCTGCTGACCTCCGCCGTCCCACTAACAGCCCGCAGCAGGGGGGGCTGCTTTCTCCTTGCCCGGAAGAAGCAGCAGGACCCGGCACGGCAGCGGATGGGTGGCACTGAGGGGTGGGAGCTCGGGTGCTTCCCTGTGGCTCAGCAGCCGGCTGCCGTCGGTGGCGGTGCCCCTTGCCATCGCTGTGCTGTGTGTCTGATCGAGGTGTCGGCAGGCTGAGTTCAGCAGGATGCTGGCATTATGCAAAGTCGCGATGAATAATTAATGAATTTCCAGGGGCGTCATGAAAAATGCGCATTTTAGAGAGGAAGGTGATTTCAAGAGAATCCCAAACCGATCAGCCTTCGGCACTTTCTCTTGTTTTCTTAAGCAATGAAAACAAGCTCCTTCCCTCCTGTGAGGCAGTGGAAGGTGGAGGTGTGAGCTCGGCACTGCAGCATCCGTGCTGCCTCCTGCGGGACGGTGCGAGCGGAGCCGACCTGCTGTGTGCACTCACTGTGTGCTGGGAGTCACTGCAGAGAAATGGGGCTGTGAGCCTTGGGAGCTGCACCCTCACGTCACACTGCATCCTTTCCTGCTGCTCCGTTGCCTCAGTGCTGGCATAAAGCTGTGCCTCCTCCCTTTGTTGGGTCCTGCACGCCTTCTGCAGGTTAGTAGGGATATTTGGGTCCCTACAGACAGAGCTATTTTTTCCTAAAGGAAAAAAGAACCACTGTGCTCTAGTGGGATGGAAGTGGCACTGAGGTATGAAAAAGCCTATTCTTAGCACACAAATTATATCAGAGATGATTAACCATAGAAACAAACTAACCGGGGGAATTGGGGCTTCCCTTCCCCGAGCCTCAGTGCCAGAGCCCACGATCTGCTCCGGCTGCTTTGTGTTGTGGGTCAGAGGGAACGGCCTCCCCACGCGCCCGCTTCGAGTCCACGAAGTCGCCCCATGCCTGTCCCTGCCCCCCTTGTTCCCACAGCCTCAAAGCAGCGATGCTTCACTGACTTTAAGCCACCTGTCTCTCTTCTTCTGGTAGGAAACCATTGCAGCTCCGCTTCCCCTCTCTGCCCATTGCTCCCTGTCCCATTGCAGGCTGTGGTGTTGATGGATGCTCATTCCCCACTTGCTTGCAGGCTGAGTGCTGCCTGCTGAAGCAGCGCTGTGTCCCTGCTGGGTTTCCTCAGCTCTCCTCTTAGGTGCAGCACGGGATGCTGCTGCTGCCTGTCAGCTGCTCTCCTTGCTGTCCTTGGACATCACAGCTGTACAGCCGTGTCACTGTTCTCAACTGACAGATTTACTGCAGTGGCACTTCACGGAGAATCTCATTTTCCAAAATCCACATCATTTCTGCAGTGTCACCTTCTGTGTGTCGCAGTGCACACAGCTCAGCTCGCAGCTCGCTCTGTGCTGACGCTGCACATCAGCATCGTGGGGCTGAGCCCTCCTGGCCCCGTCCCTCTGTGCCATTCTAACAGACGTTTACAGAGCATCATTGCTCAGACCCCTGCAATACAGCCCTGCTTCACGTGCTGTTTATTTTGTGGGGCTTGAGCCTGGTTTGCAGTGAAGGGAGGAGTGCCCTCTGCTCGAGAGGCTCTGCACTTTGCAAGGCTGACGTGTGACTTCCAGAAAGCTTCACTGGAAACTGATGGAGCCGAGCAACAGCCAGGAAGCTTCAAGCAGCACGTTGTTCCATTCCTCCCGTTCCAATAAATCACCAAAGTTGCACTGAAGTATTTTTGTAAAGCACATTGGTAAGCTGTGAAATGGGGATGGATGCTGCAGAGCCACCCCAGGCAGTGACAGGGAGGGGATGGGGGCTGTGTGCAGCCCTCAGCAGACGGCTCAGCCCTTCGATTGCTGTGGACGTGGAGGCAGTGTGCTCAGAACCATGGAGTCGTGAAGGCTGGAAAAGACCTCTGAGATCCCCAGCCCCACCACGCTGTGCCCACCTGAGCGCTGTGACCTCTGGGCAGCCTGTGCCAAAGCATCACTGCTCCTTCAGAGAGTGAGGATGAGCCACTGGGAGGGAATGGAAGAGCAGAGTGAGGGCACAAACCCTTTGCCCTTCTCACCATTCCTGGGCACTCGGTGTTGGGCACTGCCTGCAATTTGGCTTCATTCCATGATGAGCCGCAGCATCTGTTCCAATGGCCGCTGTGGGGTGGGGTGCAGCCCCTGGTTCCTCTTCCTTTGGGAAGGGGATGGAGCACATGGGGCTACAGGAGCTGTGCAGGGACGCAGAGCAGAGCTGCTGTGAGCTGGGGTAGAGCTGCCTGCAGGCAGGGCCAGGGCTCCAGCACCAAGGGGGAGAAGGCAGAGCAGCTCTGCAGTGGGGATTTCATTTCAGGGGAATTCCTCCAAGGGCTGCATTGACGCAGGTGAGTCAGCGCTCAGCTCGCTGGGCTCTGTGCCACCTCCAGCTGGGACCCCCACACACACAGCACCAGTGCTGTTCTGCTCCTCCTGCCTGGGCAGCCCCAGAGCTGCTCCCTGAGGGTCTGCAGTGTGGGAAGCAGGAGGGTCAGGGCTTGTTGGCCAGGAGGAGGTGCTGGGAAGGTCCTGTTGGTGGTGGTTGTTTCCCTCTCTGTTTAATTGGAGGTCTGTGTTTTTTCTCTGCTGCAGCCACTCACCGCGCAGCTCTCTGGGATGTTCTGTGGGACCACGATGTGAGCACTGCCATCAAATGTTGTGTGACCCCAGAGAGATGCTTTGTTCTAAAGATCAGCTCTAAAGATCTCAGCCCCGTCCTGAGTTAGAAATCCAAGGCAGAAAACGTGTCAGGCCTGGACAAATGGGGAAATGGACACAGGGAAAAGCTGCCTTAGTAGCTGTCTGTTCTGCCAGGCCCTGTGGGAGGGGGTTTGGGTGAAAGGGCTCAGAAATGGTCCCACCGAGCTCCGTGGCACCGCTTTCCTGGGGGCTTTGCTGTGTGAGGAGCCGAGCTGAGCTGAGCCCCAGCCCTGCTGTAACCCCGGCCCTCTCTGTGTTTGTGCAGATTCTGACGGAGCTGAAATCGGACAATCAAAGGCTGAAGGACGAAAACGGGGCACTCATTCGTGTCATCAGCAAACTCTCCAAGTAGGGAGCCGAGCTGCAGGACGGGGGGGTGCCCTGCTGAGCCCTGCCCCTTCCTCCTGCCCCCCGCACAGCAGCATTGCAGCCACGGGATCAGCATCGCTCCTCCCTGCCCTCGGCTGGACGCTCCCTGTCTGCCCTTTCCCCCCCGCAGCGCACACCCCGGCCATTCTGTTTTAACTTCAGCATGGTGTGCTATCTCGGACATTTGACTCAAGGGAGAAGAGGAGGATGTGGAGTGGTGCTGAGCTGCCAAAACTTCTCCTTCCAGCAGCCCACGGTGTGCGGGAGGGAGCTCTGCTGTGCAAAGCGATGCCCATGGAGCTGGTGCAGCACATCTGTGCCCTTTGCAGGTGGGACCTGGACTGTGGGCCAGGATTCTGCGGACACCCATCAGCCCGTGTGCAGTGTGGGACTTTGGTTGAAATGTGATGCTACGAGGAACGGCAGCAGAGCTGATTCCTTCAGCACGTGGGGACGGCTGCTTTGCACAGAGACCTGGCTGGTTTTTATTTAATGTCAGATTGCAGATCTGGTGGGTAAATGCCCCTCCTGTGCAGCTGGTGATGGGGTGCCGTGCTGCAAACCCTGGGGCTCCCGCCAAGCTCCCTGCACTCAGCAGCACCTGGGACCTGCACCCGGACCGCTGTTCTCAGGATGGAATTGCAGACGTTTGCCAAACTTTCTGAAGAAGGAGCCTGGTGTGGTGTGTTGGTGTGGGAGGCTGCCGTCAGGCAGAGCCCTGCAGAGGAGCCTGGGCAGATATTTCAGGTCCTGCAATGGCTTTTCAGCATCAGGCTGACCAGCTGAACCGCAGCACGGTTTTGTTTCTGGGGAATGGAAATGAGGGGGGCAATGAGGCCTGGTGGCACAGATCCTCGCAGGTGGGCTTTGGGGCACTGGGCACGGAGCTGCAGTAGCTGTGCTCCAGGTGCCCGGGGGTCTTTGGGGGCTGGGAGCTGAGTGGGAATGCTGGGAGCTGCATCAGAGTCTTTTCATCCACCAGAAGTTTGCAGTCCGCCTCAGCCTTGAAGGAAACCTCAAAAAAAAAACCAACAAAACCCAACCCTCTGTATGTTGTACGGACTCAGAACAGTTTGAAATTGTTCTCCCTGTGGGCATTCAGGCAGCGACTCCTGCATGTGCTGCATGCTGCCCTGCTGAGCTCCCATACCAGACTGCTCTCCTCACCGCCTGCAGCCCCACGCCCTCATCCTCCCCCCCTCATTGCTTTTGTCCCTCCGTTTCCCACTTTGTGCCATGGGCTCCTCGTGCTCGGAGTGGCAGCAGCCGCGCACGGCAGCTCTGTGCTGAGATGCAGATGGATACTTGAACATGAGTACAACTAAGTTTGCTCAACAGGGTAAAAATTCATCTGCCTGTCCTGGGCTTCTTGGAGCCTCCTGCTGGTTATCACCTACCTGTGCATTTTCCTCTCCCTGGGGGCTTTTTTGTTTCTTTCTTATTCTCCATTTTCCCCTCCCGTCCTCCCATCCCACCTCAGCTCTCCCTGCTGGCTGGGCTCAGGGCATCTCAGCACGGAGCTGACGCTGCTCCTCTTTGCACCATTCTCCGGTGCAGCGCGGCCGTTCCTCTGCTGCTGTGCTTCGGGGAGGAGGAGAAGCGCTTTGGCATCACCGGGGCTCCTGCAGAGCGCTGCCCACACCGGGCAGGCGGTATTACTGCTTCACGTGTCCCTGCTTTGTGGAACAGCTTTAAGCCCTGAGCTCCCGTCAGTGCTTTCCCTGCACGCCGCTCCCCCTCGGTGCGCCCTGTGTGAGCGCTGCTGCATCTCTCCACGTTCTCTCCCACCCTCACCCCGGGCTTGGCTGCAGCAGCGCTGCCCTGTCCCAGTCCCGGTCCGCAGGCAGGGGCAGCCCGAGCTCCCGGCTGCTGGGAGAAGCTCGGCCCGAGCTGCCATCATCCGCACCGGCGCTGCGCCCCTTCCTGCAGGGGCTGCCGCTGCGCTCTGCCCACGAGGAGCCGTTATGCGAAGGGCGCGGAGCCAAAGCGCCGCTGGGATGCAGCGCTGCGCGCCCCTCTGTGCTCGCAGCCGACGCTCCGTGCTGACGATGGGAGCTCAAACCCCGCGGGTGAGGAGGACTCGGGGCTCTCAGTGCGTCTGCAGGAAGCACCGAGGTGGCGGTGGGTGCGACGCCGTGCTCTGCGCTGGGCACGGAGCGCAAAGGAAGCGGATTTTAACGCTGCTCCCTCCTTGAAGCAGAGTTTGTCAGACGTGCCTCCTTTGGAGAACACGGAGCTTTTTTTCTAAGCAGTGCTTGGGGTGAATTCGTTTTTATTGCTTGGGGTGAACCCTGTTGTGGCTGCGAGTTTGATGGTGGCTCTTTGTAAATAACTTCCTGGAGGAAGCAGGACTGCGTTCCAGATGGGGAGAGAATGTATTTTTATGCAACTTTGAGTGGCCTTTCAAACCCTGAGATGAATGATTTGTTTTACTGGTTGTTGTTATATAGTATTATAAGTATTATGTGTTTGAAAGTTTGGGAATAATATTCACATCTATGATGCTTGTAAACACAACAGTATTTATAAATAAATAAAATAAGAGTTGATAAAATAGAAATTGTGTCTTCGAGTCCGACTTTATGGGGCCGGGGAGGGGTGGGTGCATCTCCTCACACCTCAGCCCATCTCCTCCCATCTCAGCCCATCTCCTCACACCTCAGCCCATCTCCTCCCATCTCAGCTACCTGGAAGCTGACACCCCCAGGTGAAGAGCTGCAAAAGTGGTCCCAGGGATGGAAGCCCTCCTGAGAGCAGTGCCTGAAGGGGCTGTGAGAAGGAAGGGGACGGAGCGCAGCAGTGGTGTGAGATGGGATGAGGGCTGCACACAGAGGCAGTGCTGCCCCGTCCCTGCAGACCCCCAAGGGTTGCATTGCAGAGTCGGACCGGGCGGCCTTTAATGGCCCCTTCCAACTCAAACTGTGATTCTATGAGTTGGTGAAGCTGAAAGCTGAGCTCTGAAATGCCCTCACGTGTCCCCAGAACTTCACCCCAGAAGCAAAACCAGCAGGGCAGCAGGGCTCCTTTCAGCTGTTTCTTTAATAAGGAGACAGATATCATTACAAAATAACCATTGAACGATCAGAGACGGAACGACAGAGTCCACACGAGGGGAAGGGGCTTTAAAAGCAGCTTCCTGCCGGAGCCCAGCGCTGCAGGGGCGGGCGGGGGGATGGGGATGGGGGCTTCATCCTCCCGGTTATGGGGCACGAAGGCAAAGCTGTGCGGCCTCACTTCTGTCCCCAGGAGGATGGCGCTGGTGTCACTGCGAGAGGGAGAGGGAGAAGAAAGAGGAGAGAGAAAAGGGAGAGAAAGGAGAGGAGGAGGAGGGGGGGGGGAGGGGACGGGGAAGGGGAAGGGGAAGGGGAAGGGGAAGGGGAAGGGGAAGGGAGCAGCCCCCAAAGAGACACAGCAGAGCCCCAGAACCTCTCCCCAACATCTTCCCACCGCCATCTCCAACGCAGCACAGATGTCACTGCAGGACATCCCTGGTTTCACCGCCCGCCCCCCCGCAGCTCTGAGCCCCACGGCTGGGGCTGGAGGCCATGCGGGACCCCCGGGGCGCTGCGGTCTGATATGGCTTCTAAAGTTGCAGTGATGTGAGACGCACCAACGCGACACAGAACACCGAAGCCACGATGGGACAACGCGACAAACACGGGGACGAGAGACGCGGGTGGAGGGCACGGCTGGCAGCGCTCGCCCTCCGCGGGCTGCAGGCATGCGGTGCTTCTTGGCCTATTTTCTTCTTCTGCACGATTTTGTTTTATTTTGTTTCATCTTTTTGGAGGGGGGAGGAGCACTCAGGCAATGAGTTTTGTCCGTCGCCCGCACTGCTCTGCTCGGGCACGGCCGGGCCATGCTGCGGGGCTCATGCACTGCTCGTGGTTTGTACAGCGATGGACGTCTCCATACAGGTACCTACACACAGCTGGGGGGGCAGAGGCAGCACAGATGGCTTTTGTAGGTCGGTGGTTTGTCCCTTTTTTTTTTTTATAATTGTTATTATTATTAAAATTAAAAATAAAGAAAGACGTATCATGTATTAAAGTCAAAGTTCCCCCTCCTGCCCCGAAGCATAAAGAGTCCAAATGGAAATTGCAAAGTGCAGCAGGGATGGGGAGCGGGCGGGGGGGTGCATGGGGCAGGGGGGGGGAGGGGGGGGGGTGTGAACAGCATCTGCTCCTCTGCTGCTTCCAATGGAACGCCGGGGTTCTGGGTCTGGGCTGAGGGATTCCTGCTGCTGCCCCACGCTCCCATTCACTGAAGCCACCCCGAGATTTCTCCTCCCTTCTCTACACGGTTTGTGCACGGCTGTGTTCACACCCTGACACAGGACAAGAAATGAATCAAAGCCAGGGAACCACTGCTCCCAGCCCCAGCACACGGACCCCAGGAGTGGGACAGCAGTTTGGGGTTCCCGGTCCCAGCCCCAGCTCAGGGCAGGGCGCTCCCCACTGCACACCACAGTTGTGGCTACCAGAACCCCGAACCACGGTGAGGATGGAGGTGTCCCCCACTGGGGTTGCGCCCCCAGAGCTCCACTGTCCCTCACTGCTGAGTTCCCCATCTCTTCCCTGCCTCCAGCTCGGGGGGGAGGAGGGGGCAGTGCCAAGGCATCCAATGGCCCCAAAGGGAGCTCAGCTTTGGCACATCATACCTGGGCATGGGGTGCTGGCATCAAGACGCCAGGTGTAGACTCCTGGCAGCATCCCAGTGCCTGGGGCTTCCCCACTGCACTCTGAAACTCTGCTTCTCTGCTGCAAGCTTGCTCACCTGAATGCCAGTCTCTTTCATAGCCTAACAGTGCCAAACTCTGCATGCTGAGGATGTTCCAAGGAGCTCCTCTCACCAGGACCTTTGCCACAAGACCTGGGGTGCAGGAAAGCAAAGCAGAGCAGCAAGCACAAAGCTGCTGGGGAGAGCTGCACAGGGACATGGGGACACACTGTGCCCCAGGAAGGACCGGGCTGAACCGGGCAAAGCCATCAGCTTCCCAGCTCAGGGGCTTGGATCCAGAGAAGTTCTTACCCAACCAGCGCTGCTGCCAGCAACAGGAATATGGCTTATTCCATCCAGCAGGAGTGGGAAGGGAGGATGTGACAGCAGTCGGCTCCTGGGGAGCAGCAGCCCATGGGGAAGGGGGGGGGGATGCGGCCCCCCAGTGGTGGGATGCAGCCATAGGGCCGGAGTTGCCAGAGCCCCACCTGGGCTCCGCTGGGTGCCCGCAATGGGGCTGAGCCGTGCGGATGGCAATGGGTCCCACAGCAGCTCCTCCAGCACTCAGACACCTCTCCACGTGAAGCAGCCGCAGGGAAGCATCTGGAGCGATGGGTTTCTACGCTGTGCCGTCAGGAGGCAAACAGCAGCTCCAAGCACGATGGGAAACGCGGAGCTCCGTGGCTCAGCCCCTGCTGACACGCAGTGGTGGCCCACGCTGCATCCCGTGCTGCGTCTCCTCCAAGCGCTCCGTCCTCGTGCTCCTCCTGCATCCCCCCAGCTCCTGCAGCACAGCTCCGCTGTCCCTGCGCACCTCTCCCCAGCAGCAGCCAAAGCTGGAGCGGCCCAGCATCTCATTCTCACCCCACGGGAGGCACAGCAGGAGAGGGGAGGCAGCCAGGTCTCCCGCAGAGGTCATGGATGTCCGTGCTGGTGCTGGAGCCCCAAGCAAGCACAGTGAGTGTGGTCATCCGGCTCCGGTGGCACCTCCATGCAGCGATGCTCGGCGATCCCCATGGGCAGAACGGAGGCGGTGAGGCCGCGGGTCGGTGATGCAGCAGTGGGGAGGGATGTTGGGCGAAGGGGATGGGGCATGCAGCCAGAGGGAGCGATGCTGGAGAATGAAAAGAACCATCCGAGTCTTTAACCTCTTCCCCTGGAAGCTATTGGGACTGTCTGGAAACCCTTCCACAGCTGTCAAAGGGTATTTCAGCTTAAAACAGAACAGCGACAACAAAAAAGAACCAAACCAAAGGTTGCGTAACTGAGGTATCGGTAGCTCTGGGTCGCTTTCAATGTCCGCCGCGCCGGCTGCAGGTCCTCTATTTGTTCTTCCCAAGAGCTGCGTCCACTTCTTCCTCTGGCTTCAGTGAGTGCCACTGGGCGATGGGCCGCCGCGGGTTGGCCAGCATGTCAGACCAGTGCCGCAGCTCCGTGCCCGTGGAGTTGAAGCCCGTGAAGATCTTGCCGATGGCTTCGTTCTTGCCCAGCTTGTCGTAGTCCAGCACCGTGATGACCACCTGCACTTTCTGGGGGAGGAAGCAGTCGTTAGAGGTGCGGGAAGGCAGAGCCCCAGGGGTCCCACAGGGCTGAGCCACACAGTGGCCTCTTTTGGGGCAAAGTCCCCTCCGTCCTTCCACCACTCCATCCCACAGAGACACGGGGTCACAGTGGGGACTCCGCTCACCCTCACGTGGCCACCCTTCCCAAACCTGGGGTGAGCACTGCAGGTCCAGGAGCAAAGGAACGGGTAGATGTGGCACTGAGGGACGAGGTTAGTGGCATGGTGGGGACGGGGTGCAAAAACCTGATGAACTTTGAGGTCTTCTCCAACCTTAATGATTGGATGATTCTATGGAAGCCCCAGCCCTGCCTTGGGCTGGGTTTGAAGGTGCGTCTCCAGACCAGGCTCAGGGATTGGGTTCCAGCTGGACCAGCAGCTCAGCAGGAGGCCTCAGGCTGCCGGGACATCCTTCACTTCCCCCCGCCCACATGTCCCCACGGATGTCAGCACACCAACCTGTATCTGCTCAAAGGGGATCTCGAAGCTGAAGGACTCGTTGAAGTAAGGGTTCAAGGTCTTCTTCTTAACTGTGGTCTTCTTCTTCTTCAACCTCTTCCCGTTCTGCAGCAGGTGGATCTTCACATAGGGATCTGGGTGAAGGGGGGGCATTAAGCAGGGCTGGGACACCCATGGGACACCCTGGGGCAGATCTCAGCCCAAGATGAGGGCACTGGGAGGTGAGGAGTTTGGAGGTTTGTGGATGGAAGCCGAAGCCAAAATATTTCCAATTTAGGGAGTCGCTGGGCAAGGGATGGAGCTGCCCTGCCTGCTGTGTCTCTCCTTGCAGGGGGGCTGGGAGCAGCAGATGCCCCATTGATGGAGCAGGAGATGCCAGCAATGAAACCAAACCTTGTCACGCACTGAGCACCAAACTACCCTTCCCAAGGGGCAGGGGGCTCGTCTTCCCTGCAGCCAGACTTCAGGCTGCCTCCAACAAAGGACTCTGAGAGCACTGGGATGGGTCAGCAGGATGACGCCCCCGAGCAGCACCCACCTGAGAGTCCCCCAACATCCATCTTCTTCAGGTTCTTGGCCTCCAGGATGCAGACGGTGAGCTTGCCGGCCGTGGGCACGTAGCGGAGGGAGATGCAGATGTCTCCAAGCTTCTCCGGCTGCCGAGCAGAGCGTTGGCAAAAAGGAGGAACTGGGTCAGACCCGGCTCACGGCACCGAGGTGGGTCCATCCCGAGTGCTGTGGGGCCGTTCCGCGTCTCAGCTCTCACCTCCTCCTTCTCACCGCTCTGCAGGTCCCGCCACTCCTCGATGGGTTGGCCCAGATCCACCGTGTTCATGGGCACCTTCACCTCACCAATGATGTCGTGCTTGGAGAAGCGATCGAAGTCGTAGATGGCCATCACCAACGTCTTCCCACCCAACTCCTGGTAAGGGACCTGCACAGGGAAGAGCCACCCGGTGGCATGGAGCCCCAAGGAGCCTTCAGCACCCAGCGAGGCGCAGCTGTGGGGTCAGGCAAGGTCCTCACCTTGAAGGTGAAGGTCTCGTTGAAGGCAGGGTTGAGTGTCTTCTTCTGCACCTTTGTCTCATACTTCTTCTTCTTGTCGGGGAGCAGGAACACCTTGACGTAGGGGTCTGAGGTGCCACCCATGTCCAAAGCCGGCAGTTCAGCCGCTTGCAGGATCCCCACGGTCAGCTGGAGGGGACAGAGTGCCTTCAGCACAGCAGGCTCCCAGCCCGAGGTGGGAGATTTTTCCTCCCCAGATGAACCCCCTGGGTAAATCCCAGCCCCTCCAGCACCTGGTTTGCCTGGAAATCATAATCCAGCGAGAACTGCAGCTTGCCCAAGTTCTCTGGCTCCTTCTCCTCTTCTTCACCTTCCCCCTCCGTCAGTCCTGTCTCTGCGTCGTCATCGTCCTGGTGGCCAGAGCAGCACCCAGGGAGAGCGGCACAAAGGAAAAGAGTGATGTCATGGACAGCACTGGGGAGAGACCCATGGCAAGGCAGGGAGCTGGGTGTTTGTATGGCCCCACTGATCCCCTGGGACACAGCATCCCCTTAGTATTTGGGAATCACCTTTGGGAATCAACCCCTTTGCTGCAGCACACAGGTTGGATATGCACTGCAGCATCAGGCCCCAGACCCACTGGTCCCATGAAACCCCCTTCCCCCATCCCCTCCTGGCTCCCATAATGGGGAGATGGTCCTGTTCTGCACAGCACCATCCACCTGGAGATCCCCAAACCCTGGGGACACCAAACCAGCAGAACCTTGGAGCACCCCGAAGGACTTCACCTGGTTGCCCGACTTCATGTCCTTCATGTTCATGGCATTCTTCATGCCTTTGCCCTTCTCCTTCTTGTTCTTCTTCTTCTTGCAGCAGCATTTCTTGCAGATGCAGAAGCAGCAGGTGAGGAGGAGGAGGCCAGCAACCACCGCGATGGCGATGAGGGCCCATGGAGGCACTGCAGGGACAACAGTTCAGCCCCATCTGGCCCCACCACCCCACACCCTGCGGAGCCGTGGGGAAGGGGTCCCGGGAGGAGGGGCAGCCACTCACAAGGGATCTTGTTGAGCTCATTCATGAACTTCTCCCTCAGCTTGGCAAACATGTCCTCCTTGCTCTCTCCCGGCCCCGCAGCCTCGGTGGAGTTCTCCATGGTGGCCATGGGCATCGTGGTGGCCGTGGCCTCCGGGGCCACCATGGATGCTTGCTTGAATGTCATGCTGGGACTGGGGAACCCTGCAACACAGCACAGGTCCCTTGGTCCCTGCTGTGACCCTGAGCAGCCACGTTTCCTGGCCCTTTTCACCTCCAGAGCCCCTACAAACTCCCTGCAGGAGCTCCAGATGCTGCTGCCATCCAGCGGGGCCGTGGAGGCACTTCCAGCCCAAGTGGGGTTGAGATGACCCACACACCCCTGTGCCCTCTCCCACTGGAGATGTCCCCCTGATGACTCAGTGGCATCATATGGGCCCTGTGGTGGGGCTGTTCCATTGGTCCCTGATTGCATCACAGCACACAGAGTGCAGAGCTGAGCCTCCAGCTGCAAATGAAGGTGACATCCCACAGTGCCAGCCATGAGTTCCTCCCTGATGCTCCCAGCCTAAAGCTCCCATTCCAGCTCAGCACCGTGTCCCAGCTGCTCCTGTCACCTCCCAGTCCCTCAAGATACAGAGCAGCCCCCAAGAACGGGGACACCCAGCCCGAGAGGTGCAGATGTGGCACTCACTTCTGCAGCAAAAGCAATGTGAAGGGCACCAGGACCCGACCCAGGTGGCCTCCATAACCCTGGCATAGAGAAGAGGGCAGGAATTTGTCCCACCCACCCCACCTGAGGCAGCCCCTCAGAAAGCACCAAAACAGCGCAAACTCATCACTTCCATCCCTGCTGCAGTCAGTGCCAAGGTCACTGCTTCACCACCACCCGAATGCTTCTCTATTGAGAAACCACAGAACCCAAAGGCAGGGCCAAAGTTTTCAGGCTGCTGGTGCTGTTTTGGGGAACTTAAAGCCCAGGACTGCAGGAGAAGGTGCTCAGCAGCTCTCAGTGCTGAGTGGGGCTGGCACCAGCCCTGCCTGCAGCTTGGAGCAATGCCTGCAGTGAGCAATGTCTGCTTCAAGCCCTGCTGCAGCTCTGAGCAATGCCTGCAGCACTGAGCAATGCCTGCAGCTGAGCAATGCCTGCAGTGAGCCCTGCTTGCACCAAGCCTGCCTGAGGCTCTGAGCACCTCCTGCAGCCCGCAGTGCTCCCCTTGGAGCTGCACCAGGACGTGTTCAGCTCAGGAGCTCCCACTCAGCCCCAAACCCTTCCTCCCCCTCAGAGGTCCCGCAGCAGCAGCAGCAGCAGCCCCGCTCTGCTCTCCATGGGATGACTTTCTCTCCAAACTGCTGATGCACACATTTCTGCCCATCTGTTGTGGAAATGCCAGAAACCATGTCAGAGAGGTGAGGATCCGGGGGCGAGCAGCCCTTCCTTCACTGCACCCATCAGTGCCACATTCAGTGCCACCCGTCTGTCCTTCCTGCAATGCCACAGCCATGGGTTGCAGCACGGTGCAAGGAAGTGCAGCCAAGTGGGAGGAGGAGAAGGAGGAGGCAGCCTGCACCTGTGTGCACGTCCGTGTGGATGTCAAGGAGTTTGGCCATGCACAGAGGGGGACTCTGCACAGCCCTAAGGGTGACATTTTCCATTGCTTTTGGTATTGCCTTTTCACACCGTGAGCACCAGGCATCCCCACATCCCCCCTCTGCCACCACCCCACATTGTCCCCTCCCCGTGCAGTGCAGTGCAGTGCAGGTGCAGCAAAGGCACTGCAATGCAGCGCTGCAGGGCTCAGGTCTGTGTGCTGCTTGCTGGTTTTATTTTTTTCTCTTGCACATTTTTTTCTTTCTGTTTTCTGTCCATTCGAAGGAAAGCTGTCGTGGGGGGGATGGCAGCTCCCTCACCCCCCTGCCGCTCTGTCTCCTGTGCATTCCATTCACACCCATCTCCCCTCGCCCTTGGCCCAAGAGCAGATGGGGGTTCAGCACCAGCAGCACCGCAGGGCTCTCACCCTCACCCTGCAAACCCCCATGGAGATCCCCCTGGGATTCCTCCATGACGACACTGGGGAAGTTCTGCATCCAGCTGCAGTTTGGGCTCAGGAAATCCTTCCGGTGATCCCTTCATCGCTCCCATTCCCATACACAGCTTCAACCCACAGAGCCTCCGCAAGAAAAAAAGGGCACCAGAGCTTTCCCCGTGCAACAGCCCCCAGGCACAGCAGCACCACAGTCCCCACTGCCTTTGGCATGGAGGGAAAGGGATGGGGATATATGGACAGGAAGAGGGACGGGGCTGCAGCCATCCCTATCACAGCCTCCCAGGGCAAAGCAGGGTGCATGGGCAAGAAGTGGGGGCTGCCCGGGACCACAAGGACCAGAAACAGACAGAGGTGTGGGGACATGCGGAAGGGCAGAAAACAGCAGCTAATCATGATTAATGAAGCTGAGGCAGCAATTAGTGGCAGCACGCCTGGATGGCCGGCTGCAGGAGCCACAATTCGCCTCGCTCGGGTTCACGCAGTGGCTGTGCCTTGTCCCAGGGTGACCCAAAGATGGGCTCCAACCACACAGCACATCCCACAGAGGGAAACGGAGGCAAACAACGAGGACTGTCATGGGGGGGGGGGGAACAGTGTGAGCTGCAGAGGGCTCTGCTGGGGCTGCCAGCACCGATCCCAGCCGAGATGCGGCACAATCCCACGCAGGGAGCGGCTGTGCTGGAAGTGCTGCGTTGAGCAAGGACCCTGCTCCTCCATCACAGCCTCTGTGCTATTGAAAGCAGAGCCTGGAGATGCAGAGCAGTTAAATACAGTCTTAAAGGTAGCCTTCATCCATCATTTGGCCACCAGATTAATGGCTCAGGACGTCCCCCAGCCGGAACGTGGTGCTCCCTCTGCCCAGCGCTGCTGCAGCTCCCATCAGTGCAGCACACACAGCTGGAACAGCTGAAGGTCGATGGATGAATGGAGCTGGAGGGTGAAGATCACACCCCACAGCCCCAGCCCACACTGAGCCCGAGGGAAGGGGCTGGGAGTGCTGTGGGGATGGGATTCAAAAGTACACAGGGAGGTAAAAACAAGTGGCGAGTGCACGGTTGCAAAGCAGGCAGCTCTGAGCTGCACATGGTGCATCTGCCATCCCAGGGCTTCTCTCAGGGTCCCTGCAGGGCTCAGCTGTCCCAGCTGTCCCAGTTGTCCCCTGCCCAGCAGGACGCAGTGTGGGCTGCAGACGGCACTCCCTGGAGCTGCTGCAGCGCCGTCACAGCAGCTGCTCTTCTCCTGCCCTGTTGAAAGCATTTGGCTCCTCAGCGCTTTGAGACCCCACGGAAGGCAGCTCCATGGCTAATTAGCAGGGAAGCAAAGCAGACATGGCTCCGAGGCACCTGCGGAGGCCATGGGGTGCTGGGAGCAGCCCTCCTGGTGCAGGAGCACAGACACAGCCCTGTGCTGCAGAGAAGTTTTGGCTCACGTGTTGTTGCAGTGCCCTCAGCCCCCACGCAATGACACCACGGAGAGCTGCTAACCACCACCAACCCTCCCCAAACCACCACCAACCCTCCCCAAACCGCCACCAACCCTCCCCAACTGCTGACAGGCGCTGCCCATCCCAGCCTGCTCCCCACGCCATGCTGGCTGTGCTAAATAGGGCAACAGAAGGCGCTGGGGCAGAGCCATCCCAAGCAGCCGGCTGCGCACCAGGTTGGCACCACGAAGGCTTGGTGTGGCCGTGTTGGTGCTGCTCTGCCCACGCCGGGACGCTCCGTGCCTTGGAGCTGCGGTGTCTCCAATCAATAGGAGGAGAAGGCAGACGATGGCTCCTGGGGCAGAGCCAGGAGCTGAGCCAGGAGCGTGGAGTCGAGCCGCATCGATTTTGGTTTGGAGGAAGGAGAGTGATGGCACAGTGCTGGCAGCCCCTGCCCACCTCGCCTGCTCCCAGCAAACCTGGGATCCGAATCCCCCAAATCTGTCTGGCTGTGCAGGTGGATTAAAGCCGCTGGGCAGCCATGCAGCTCCAGGTCCTCTGCAGCCTGAGCTGCAGCCCTGAGGTGCTCCCAGGGATTTGGGGCACACATCACACATCCTGGAGGAGCAGCACAACCAAACGGGGCTCGCTGTGCTACGAGGTCTCCTGCCCCAGCCATCTTTGGTCACGGCCCACATCCCCAAAGTGCCACCACGCACTGAACTCAGTTCACACGCTGCCATCATTCCAAGCACCAGAACGGCTCCTGCAGCCCCTGCAGTGCCTGCACAACCACCCCATGGCACCCACGCACCACCTCCAGCTCTCTGTGGGACAGGTATCGCTGAACATGGCACCAGGACTGCACCTCCTGCACCTCCTGCCAGCAGCAGTCGCTCCCTTCCATCTCCCAGCAATGCCCAGCCCAGAGCTCTGCTCTGCTGCACTCTTTGAGGAGGAGCAGAGGAGCAAGGAAGACCTAAAATGATGCCTTTAAGCAGAACCACGAGCTTTCCTTAAGACGCAGAAGCAGAACCACAAAGCCAGGAGCCCCTTCTGTGCAGGGCTGTGGATGCAGCACTGCCTGCGTTCAGCAGCGCTGGTTTGGTGCAGAGTGCAGGGTGGCCACACGAAGGGGCACACCGCAGCAATTCAGCACAGCACAGAGCAATCCCAGCATGCGGGCTGCAGCGTGGGCACATCCCATAGAAGCACCCCATAGGGACAGGGATGGCCCCTGTCCGGACCCAGAGAGCAGACCCCATATGGCAGCAATGCTCCAAGCAGCCAGCATCTGGGGGATCACATCCCATGATTTGGGGCTGGTCGGGATGGGTGATGCAGGCAGTGGGTGGCAACAGTGCAGGGCATCTTAGATTCCAGCCACACACTGCCTAATTTACGGTTTAATTAATAAATGGGGAATTATGCTGGGTTGATCCAATACCTCTGGACGTGCGATGTTATCAAAATCCCATTACCAATGAAGGAAGGCATGAAGAGCAAAATTAGCTTTGGCATCTGAAACATTTCAGCCGATGCGATAACACAATTATTAGGGCTAATAATCAAAGAGCACTTGGGGGAATGCAGGCTCCTGTGGGAGCTGAACACGGGGTGGGGATGAGGGGGGAGCAGAGGGGCTCCCACCCAGCGGGCAGAGCCATCTGCAGCCAAGGGCAAAGCTCACAGACAGCCTCCACTGCTCAGAGCTCC